ACCTAGAACTAGAATCATTCGGGTTTAGCCGTCTTGAGAGACGTGCGGCTAAATCCGAATGTTTCTAATTCTACGTCTAGTGTCAGTTCTAGTGATAGTGCTACTGTAAAACTGAAACTAACACTAGACCTAGAACTAGAAATCTTCGGGTTTAGCTGTGCGTATCTTAACACGGACGAAAACTCAAGATTGTTATAAGGATGTCACCTTTTTCCAAGCACAACTTTTCCTCTGCAGAATTACTCAATGCCTGTACTATTAAGCTATGTTGCATTTTATGTGGGACAGTGCAAGTACACAGTAGTTTCGTAACTGCATTCATGTATTACGAGTTAGTCTCGGTATGTAGTTTATAAATGTTGTTAGATTTGAAAAATTAATCGATTTCATTTTATGTTTTTAATTGTTTAAAACATTGTTTAATATAAATTAAATATTTTTACTCTAGGAAAATGTGTTTTATTAAAAACAATGTAATACTGTGTAATACTTAGTAATACGGTCCTGATGTCATAAAATTTATGACACGCGCCCGCTCCTGTTATAAAAGACCAGTTTAAAAGTACAAAAAACATTTTATATTATTTCTCCTAAATATTAAAAACTGGTTGAATGGATTTCGAATAATATTTTTTAAATTAAAAATATTAATTAATAAATTCTTTTAATTACTTACATTTCGCAAATATTTTTTCGGTCCAACTGTGATACTAAATCTTCACACTTTGCTGATAAAGCATTAGCTTTTTCTTCTAACGCTGGAACTAATTCAGCTTTTTGAGTTGCTGTAGCTAAAGCTTTTCGTATATCTTGTAACTCAGTTTGTTTTAAATCCAACACTGCTCTTAGTGAAAGGACTTCCTAAAGAATTAGATAAATATTTAATAACTAATTTTGTAAATATTTACGATTTTCTTTACCTGTATACTTGTATTTCCTTCATTCTTAGAATGATTAAGTAATGTATCGTTTTCTTCTCTAACCACAACTAATTCATGCATTAGAGAATTTACTTGATCTTTATAGCTTCGTTTAAATTTCTCACTTTCGCCTTTTTGTAGTTTCAAGCTTTCGATATACCCGTTCTTTTCATCGATTTGTTCCCGAATTGAATCGTTCTCTTCACGTAAAATATTCATTGAAGCTTGATGCTCCTTTTCGAGGTTTTCATATTTTGCTGATAAGTTTTGTATTTGTAGTCTAAGTTTTTGTTCGTTTTCTGCACTTGCATTTTTTACTACAAAAATCAAATTTATTATATTTAATTTAAAATTAATTTAATTAAAAGCACTTACATTGAGTTATTCTATTTCTGTGTTGTTCCAAAAGGCTTGTAATTTCTGATCGATACTTCGCCCGTTCTTCCTCAATTTCCGCAGCGTGTACTGCGTTTACTTCTAAAAGTTTTTCTTCGAGATGTTGGCATGATAAACGAGCTTCTTCGGCATCCGTTCGTACTTTTTGGACTTCCTTTTTAAGAGAAGGTACTCTAAATGCTTCCAACTAAAATAAAAAGAAAAAAGGAATTAATTCCACTCATTTTATTTTTGTTATAATAAATTCGTACATTACGAAGCAATAAATTTTGAATAAATTCGAATATCGACCACATGTTAACTTAACCAAAGAAGATAAGCGACTGAGAAAACATTGACTCTTTTTCTATGGCTTTAAGAAACCGGTAAACAACGTTGTTAAACTATGACTTCTTTTCAATGGTAGGTTTTGTCCTCCCACCCAAAACGAAGTTTTTACTTCCGTTAAATACGATTTTAATTTGTTTGTGTAACAAATCATTATGAAAAAAAAAACATCCAAACAAATAATTACAAAGTCGTTTTTGCAAAAAAGGAAATGAAATTTAAATAACAATACAACAACAAAATTCGTTAATTTTATCAATGGGGATAAGAATTCGTTGTTAAAAAATAAATGATATTACATAATCATAAAACACGTCTACTTTGGTTTCTTTTCTCTGTCATCACGTTGGAACTTAATACCGTAACGTAACATGTAATAAGGTAAGAGATTGTTTTAAGTTTAATACGATCTGTAATATAAGACGGTTCAACGTAAATTTAATTATGTAGTAATTATACAAGGTGTTTTTTTTAAAAGTAGATGTGGAAATTTAAAAATTCTAGCTTTTGATAAGTCCACAAGATTTCTTAAAATAAATCCCTAGCAGTAGATGAGGTTGTAAAGAATTAATAATCAGATATTTACACAGCTGATGAGAGCATATATAGAGTCTATATCAGAGATGCAAAGACCGCGGCCCGCCGGTCGAATACTGGTGGCCCGCCGACAGCAAAAATAATATTCTCGTACATTCGAAAAATAATAAATATTAAAGTACTTTGTTTCTTTTGATATTGTGAGCGACGTCCATAAAACTGAGACGGGAGCTTATTGGTCAGCAAGCTATGTTTATAAAACCCATTCAAGATTCAGAAACAGCTACAGAAGTTAGTTATGAAATTTCTCGAATGATAGCAAAGCGAAGTCGCCCCTTCAATGATGGGGATTTTGTAAAAGAATGCATAGAAATTGCCGCTAAGAAAATGTGTCCAGAAGCAGCAAAAAAGTTTGAGAAAATTCAACTGAATCGTATGACTATCCAAAGACGAATTATGTCTTTGTCAGGTAATATTGCGGAACAATTAACTGAAAAAACTAAGATCATTGAATTTTTTTCATTAGCACTCGACGAATCCACTGATATTAGTTCCACAGCTCAACTTCTCATATTCATACGAGGTGTTACTCAAGATTTTGAAGTCTTAGAAGAGTTATTAGGAATGTGTTCATTGAAAGGTCAAACCAAAGGAGTTGATATACTCAATGTACTTTTGGATGAGTGTTCAAAAACTGATTTGGACTTATCAAAATTATCGGGAGTTGCGACTGACGGTGCTCCTTCGATGATTGGTGTCAATTCCGGGCTAGTTACTTTGCTGAAAAAGCATCTGCAAGAAAAAAACATAAACGCTGAAGATCTCATGCAGTTTCACTGCATTATACACCAAGAAGCCCTCTGTTCTAAAAAAATTGAATTTCAAAATGTCATGAAAGTGGTAGTTTCGACTGTAAATTTCATAAAATCACGAGGACTCAATCACAGGCAATTCAAACAATTCCTTGATGACATCGAAAGCGAATATGGAGATTTACTGTATTATACAGAAGTAAGGTGGCTAAGTCGTGGATTGACACTGGAACGATTTCTAAATTTAATAGAAGAAATTGGAATATTTCTGGCGGAAAAGCAAAAGGATGTCCCGGAACTTAACAATCCTGATTGGTTGTGTGATTTGGCTTTTTTAGTTGACATTACAAATCATTTGAATGTCTTGAACACACGGCTTCAAGGCAAAAATCAACTGATATCCCAGCTCTACGCTCATGTATCATCCTTTCAAAGCAAGCTGACACTTTTCAGATCGCAATTGAATTCTGGAAATTACAATCATTTTCCGAATTATAAGAAAATGGCTAAAAAATTCAACAAAACTGCGATTAATTTCAGTTATGTAGAAAAGCTAGATATTTTGATTCAATCTTTTCAAGACAGATTTTCGGAGTTTAAAAAAGTGAAACCTCTGTTGGACATATTCAGCAATCCTTTCACGATTTCAGTTGAAAATGCGCCAGAGTCAATGCAGTTAGAAATTATCGACATTCAAAACGACCAAGATTTACGCAACAAATTCAACGAAGGAGACTTGCAGAACTTTTACCGCTGCATTGATAAAAATATGTACAAAGAGTTGCGCATAAACGCTCTGAAATGTGCCAGCTTATTTGGTTCTACCTATATATGTGAACAAACTTTTTCAATACTAAATAATAATAAAACAAAAAATCGAAACCGCCTTGCAAATGATAGTTTGGAAGCAGTTTTACGTGTTGCTACAAGTAAATTTGAGCCAAATATAAAAAAGATTGTAAGCACTATGCAGTGCCACGCTTCAAATTAATAAATTCTTTTTCAATTTTAATACATTATTATCAATTCTTTATTATCTTTAATTACCTATACTTCTGGCGGCCCGCCATCAGTTCATGATTTGCCCGAGTGGCCCCTAGTCTTAATAAGTCTGTGCATCGCTGGTCTATATAGATAACATTCATTCAAAGGTGGACCTATCACACTATTTACTCTGAGGTTGACTGCTATGAATTAACTGCTTCTACAAAACGTGATGGTAGAGGTGTTCTTATTGCTGTAAAATCAAACATTGTATACTTCACAGTTGTTCTGTGCTTAAACAAAGATGGTTCGTGTAGCTCCTTTATTGTGAAAATATCTTCATCGGCAGAGCGGCAACTAGCAGACCAACAGCAGTACCAAGATAGTAAAAAAGATTTCCAACTTACAAGACCAATCAAAAGAAAGAAATGACCACAAGAGACCAAAATTAATCGAATCAACCTCGGTGGATGAAAAACTTTTTGATAGAGAAATCCTTAGTACTATACACACAACCTAAAATCGGAAAACCATTAACAGTTGTACTAAGATGAGGTGGGGAGAAGCTTACAAAATAAACCAAAGAATAGCTATCAAAAAGCAGAAATAGAAAGGGAAGTTAGAACGAACTTTGTGACTATGGAAGATGAGGAGGGGAAAGCTCAGACCATAGAATAATCAGAAATGACACTGACGTCGATTCGTTTGATGTTGGCGGCATCTCGTTTTATGATCTCGATTTGAAATCCGCCATCTTATCGCGAGGAACCATACGCACAATGAATGAGAGAGACAACTTAAACAGATATAACATAATTTTTACCATCAATAGCAGCAAACCTTGCTTCCTCGCATCAATATGGCGTCAGGTACCGCCAGTGTCACTTCTGGTTATTCTGTGGGTCAGACCTTGGTATACGTGCCAAATGAAGATAACGGAAAAGAATTGAAGAATAGATTTTGGAATCAACTCAACAAAGCAATAGAAGAAAAAAAAGAAAAGCTATATATTGTCGGTGATTTCGAAGTTGTATAAAGAGAAAGTACATACTATAAGAAATGTATTGAAATGCATGAAACGTATGTGGGATTTCTGTCTTCTTATTGACATGATAATATCAAACGCCTTTTATGAACATAAAGTCTATAGATAAGTAAACGAGAGAAGAACCACGGAGAGAAAAGCCGGAAATTTAATGGAATTAGAAGAAGACCCGAAGTACGTAACGATCAAACAGGAGAAAACACGAATCGATGAACATACAAATTAATAGAAAGTGAGAACGTATGCAAAAGCAATAAAAAAATATATTGGAAACAAAGGTAAACCCAGAGGGGAAAAATCTCGAACAACTGTTTAACATATTTAAAAGGAATGCTAAAGCCAGCTAAAGAGATATGTGGAATACTTAAAAAGAAGTTATAAGTGTTATAACAAACGACACCAAATGTTATTTTTTAGTGTACTGAAAAACAAGAAAATTAAAAAACTACAACAGTGCAAATTAGAGATAAATGGGGGAAATTACTTCCAAAGGAAGAGGAGACTATGGAAAAATCGAAATGTTACTTCCAAGATTTGCTGGGAGTAGAAACAGAGAATTCTAAAATAACAATGGATGAAATAAAAGAAGCCATAAACTGGAAAAATAGAAAGGACACAACAAAATAACCACAGATTACCACTATCGAGTACTTTACTAAAAGTTTAATAATAATAATATTTATTGATCACAATGTACTACACTTCAGAATAAGCAACTAAAAATGGTTTCCAATAAACAACTGATCAATCTTATGGTGAGATTCAATATATATTGTTCTTCCACCTCACCATAAAGTATATAAAGAGAAAAAAAAACAGTTTACAAACGTACAAAATATTAAAAGATATTATAGAACCAACATTATTCGAATTACGAAGTGGATTCAGGAAAGGAACTAAGAACCATGTGTTTACTATAAAATTGGGAAAATTCAGAAACAAGTACATGGTTTTTGGACCTCGAAAAAGTTTTTGATAAAGTGCCAAGACAGAAAGTCTGCAACGTAGAAGAGTAAAAAATAAAATAACTGAAGGTGATAAGTAATAACTGAAAATCGAATGACTTTACGACTCAAAGGTTTACGTCAGGGTCAAGAACTGAGTCCTGTATTGTTCGCAATATTTATGGACAACATTATACAGGAATATACAGGAAGGGGTGCAAAAAGCAGTAAAATTATACTTTACACGGTTTAAGAACTTTATCAATAGGAAGGATGTATCTGTATTAAGTTTCAGATGTAAGTCTTGGATATTAACAAACATCGAGAAAAGTAAGATTTAGGCTACAACGATGAAGTACTTGAGGAAGGTCCTAGATTCTAGGTAACCAGAATTGGTAAAATAAAGACCAGTGAGATCAGGCAAAAATTAAAATTGTTTGTGAATTAATTATTTTCCATATTGCTTTTTGCACGTTGCTTGATTCTGCAATGAAATCTTCATTCTTTTTATGTTTATGCATTATAATTGCTACATGACACTCTTTTTTGTATTTTCTATATAAATTATAACTATCTTCCATCTTTGTTATTTGAATTGTAGTACATAAAAAGTCTAAAGTTTGTTGCATTTTATCCAAACTTGGGTCACGTATTTTCTCACTCATATTCTTTATTATAGGGAAGCATTTATCAAAAATTGTTTGGAAAGCTTCATGGAAGGTAGTATATTTAACTTGTGTTGATTGTATTGAATCAGGTGCTACACCATTAACCATTAGCTTGGTTCTGAATTGGTGAGTATTTGAGTTATTGTATATTTTCATGTGTTTAACAATTGTTTTTTTCAGTTCGTGGTAGTGGTAACTCTTGGTATGAGACTATTTGTCCAGATGTATTTGACAGATGAAAATTAATCACTCTCGTTTCAAAGTTACTACGATCAGCGTAAATATTGTCAATGCAGGTTGCACTAATTGTGCCAACTCTAAACGGTTGATTGAACAAATTCACAATGTTAAATGTGAATTCAGCATATTTGTCCCTCTTTAAGAGATCAATATTAAAATCTCAACAAATATATATAATTTTTGTTTGGAGTTCTTTACTTAGGTGTTCTAAAAGTTTATTCAATTGATCGAGAAAAATGTTGCAGTTGCCCATGGGTGATATATGTATAAAATGATATCATAATTGACTCCTTGGAAGTTTCAATGGCTGCCAATTCGATATCTTTTTCGATAGAGAAATTAACTACATCTCTCCTTTCTTCTACTTTTAAGTCAAATTTCGTCATAATCATGGTTCCTCCATGTTGGTAGTTCGTACGACAAAACGTTGATGACGTTTTATATCCTTAGATCTGAATTAAATTGTTCACTGTGAATTTCATCCAGTGTTCAGTAATGCCAACAAAGTCAATGTTATTTTCTTTCAAAATTCTCTCTAGGACATCCACTTTATTGGTGATACTTTGAACATTTACATTAAGAATTATTCGAAGAGTTATTCGACGTTCATCTTTTTGCGACCAAATTAAAAAAAATACTTGTTTATTCGTGTTCCCTCAGGCCATATTGCGAGTCCATCACTTCGTATCTAGATTTATACAAAATTAGGGATGCCTGTTTTGAAATGTTTAGTTGCAGAAGTTTCAGACGTAAAATTTGCAATGTGAACATATTTACTGTTGCCGATGGTAGAATGCGTCTATTACACTCCTTACATTCGAAATTCATTGTTTTAATTCTGCAAGAATTTAAAGTTTAGTTTTATCTCAACTTTTCAAGTATGTATTACCAATAAATATAGTCTTTAGGATTCAGATCCAGTGAACAAAGAGATCATTCAATATCTACAAATCCTTTGTCTACTAATCCATTGTCCAGGAAATACTTCGTCTAGACAATGCCAAAATGAGTTGGAGCTTCATCTTGTTGAAACCATATCTGATTTAAATTAGCTTCAAACGAGTATTTAAGTGCAGGTACAATTTATTTCCTAAATAGCATTTTATACCTATCTGTTAAACTTCCTTCAATAAAGAACTGTTGTGGTATACGGTTTTCAAAACATGTTATGCCGATTTTGTCTTCGTCGGTGAAATATATCTTCGTAAATAACTATTTCTTAAGAAATTCTAGAAATTTAAAAGTATAAAAGCTTCCTTTAATATTAAGAGCTGCTTCAAGATGCATGTTGTTAATACGGATCGTTTACAACCAGCTTGTATGTTAAATTATCTTAACATCTCAAAAAAAAGCTACCACCCACATTCTAACAATAATATTATGGTAAGTTTTACATAAATCAATTTTCTGAATGAAATTTTGCGTGGTTGTAACTTTGTATAAGATTATTTTAAGAACCATAAAGTTTCAAAAAAGTATTTTTTTTTTACTTTTAAAGATGTTGTTTCTTTATTTTCGTAAGCCAGAATGTTATTTTCCAGCTTAATTCAGATTTCTTATTCAAATTAATTTAAAAACTTTTTTCTTTGAAATAATTGGAACAAACCCAAATTGTTACAACATAAACAAGCTCAGGTGAGTCACGAGATTGATTACTTCTAAGAATTCTTTGTTTTTCAATTCAATAATTAGAGGTTATTAAAGGAAATTTATTTTTAATGTTTATTAATGAAATAGTTTAAATACATAATTATAACTTCTCTTTTTATGAATTGTGTTAATACAAAGAAAAGTGTATTAAGTATTAAATAATAATAATATTTTACTTACTAAAATTCCTAATCGAATTCTAAATTGAGTATCTCTACTTCCACCCCGATTTTTATATTCCATCTTAATTCCGTTTACATCAAAATGAAGATTAACTTTTTGTTCAACCTCGCAACTTTTTTTGAATAGAACCGTTTCCGCGCCGATTCAACGCGAAACTAAACGTATTTTCCGTTCGGTTATTCAGAATTTGTTTACCCGTGGAAACGATCCGAAACGTCGTATCGACCTCAGTTTTAAATAAATATCGAGGAAAAGAAACGTTCTCTCAATTCAAATTCATTTCAATCCAAACCACATCAGTCTTATTATAAAAAAAAATATTAAACTTACCTCAAATACTAAATGTTGAACGAGCACTGCCAATGCTTCTGCTGTTTTTGGTGCCGCTTTTAATTGAGCCCTTTGTTGAGGGGGTGACCTGGTCGTTGGAGACACACGGCCACCCTTTACAGTTGTTCTGTTACATTCTGAAAAATAAAGAAAAAATTAAATATAGTTAAAACCTAGATATAACGAACAAAATGTTTTTATGTCGTACTATTAATATTATCTATTTAATACGTTAGTATATTTAAATAAAAATGTTAGCGATCATAGATAGAATTTAATTCGGGTATTCCCCGAGTTGTCTATACGATGTATAAATCAAAGACGGTTGTTCTAGTTATAATTGAAGACCTTGCAGCAACAACGGGGCAACTCCACTTTTTGTCAAAAATGATTTGAAAACTGTTGCATCCAATAAAATAGTAGCCATCAGTTGGTGCAACAACGAGGCACCAACCGAATAGAATCCTGGTATGAGTTATACTTGAAGACATATGAAACTGCACTTACCTATAGTGACATGAAAACTAAACAAAAAAGCGAACAAGCCACCTTGAGTATTAAGCCTGTGGTTTCTTACGATTTATTTTATAGATATTTTAAATTAAACTTCAAAAACTATTCATTTGGAAGTGATTAAAGATAGAAGATTAAAAATAAGTAGTTAACAGACGATCAGAAGAATGAGCTAGAAACTGAAAAAAAGTTACACCTCAATAAGTGCCAACTGTTTTATGATTATCTAAAAATTAAGCAGACTTTGGCGAGAAATGATCCTACAGTTAACACACTTTCGTTTGGTTTTCAACAGAATGCTCCACTGCCTAAAATCCCTACGCCATGCGTTCTGCTTAAGACAACCCCGGATATTTAATTTCTGTGTATATTCAAGTAAATTCGCAAAGCCACATTTTTATATGTATCATGAAACTCAAGATAAAAAGACACCAAATGTATCAAAAAGTTTTTTACATCACTTTATTACGAACACACTGGATAAAAATGTTGAAACATTGTATTTATTTTCCGACAACTGTGCTGCGCAAAATAAAAACTTTTCTCTTGTTTGTTATGTAGTATATTCATTGGTCCAATTTGGCAAAATAAAAAAATGGTTCATCGTTTTCCTGGGCGTGGCCACAGTTTTCTGACTTGTTACCAATCTTTTAGAGTCGTCGAAAAATACATGAGAAAAATAGAACGTGTTACCAAATAAGAGATTTATTCCTCATGACAAATAATGACTAATAGATGAAAAACATTGTAGTAAAAGTTTTTTAGTTTCCTAGATATCCGATATATGCGGCGACATCTAGATAATGTGTTTCCTGGAAGATGGATAGGTCGAGATGGTATAATGACCTGGTCATCGTAATCGCCCGTCTTCTTAAACTTAAAAAGCATAGTGTACGCCACGGAAGTTAGCACTTAGCAAATATTGCAAAATCAGACACATGCTGCTCCCCAGACAATCCGCTAACACCCTGGATTAGGCTAGTGGGATATCGTGGATTCAGGAAGCCCAATTGATAGAAAATATGGAAAATAAGTTCAAATACATGCTGTGATGATATTTTAAAATGTTCTATGTATTCTTGATTTGAAAATAAATATCACAGATATCTATGAATGCGCACTATTATGCGCATAGGTTGAGAATCCAAATGAATATCTCTGTAATTACAAGAAATCTTCAAAAAACATCGAAGTAATACCCGTAAAAAAATCTATGACATTGAATTTCATTGATCATTATAAACCGTATTTCAAGACAATGATGTCTAATAAGGAAAAGAAGAAATTTACATCATCTTATGTTCAATATCTTCGCTGATTCTTAAGGATTTCCAAAAAGCCATAACTATTGGACACATCTCTGTAGAACCTTCTGCAACAGCATATTCTACACCACTGCCATAAAAATTTCAAAAATTAAACAATGTAAGTATGTATAAAACAGCTGGAAATCCTAAGGCGAAGTTCAGAATGCGCTCATAACATGGCCCGCTTCTGCTCTTCCACTTAACCTTAAAATAATTGCACTTTTATTCGTTCCTAGTACATGCCTACTCCTAAAACTAAAACTATTAATTGATTCTACATGATTGACTTATAATCTATCTTATATATGAGTAATAAAAAATATGAAAAATAATATAATGAACTAACAAAACAAATTATTCCACTTGCATTAAAATTAGATTGATCCACTAAACAAGCAAACAAGAAGTTACTGTCGCTCAAATAAATCTTTTTATACAGATAATTAGGGGAGCCGGTTGTGACAACCTTATGATGCGGCACTGAAGCATGTAGAGTATAACGATTGTAAACATTCAGCCAAGTTAACTATTTAAGCTTATGATAGATGCTTTCAAATTTTTTTATTCTGAATAATCTCATGCAAGCGTTCTGCACTCTTTGTGCTCTCAATCTATCCATGGAATCCAAACATGGATAGTAGACGGGAATACAATAATTGATCAAAGACAGAATAAAACATTCACAAAGCATCTTCCTCATGTTTAAATTAAAAATATCTTTGAAAGAATAGAGTAGTTTCAATTTCAAAAACAAACACTTAATGTTTTAGTAATGTGCTGTTTGTACTTAAAGACATTATCAACAACTAGCAAAAGATTCCTTGTCTGATCAACTATAGGTATATTGCAACCGTTCAACTTAAGAATCAGATTAGCTTACAATTCCTCGACTTCCACATCTTTACCAAAAAGAATAACTACACTTTTATCAGGGTTCAATATCAAGGCATGATTCTTTGCAAATTCACTGACATTCGCTAAGTCCTTATTAATTTTCCATGCTGCCCCCTCATATCCACGAAACGGAAAATTGTAGTATAACTGAGTGTCGTCAGCATACATATGAATTTTACAATAATTGACAGCTTTTGGAAGCATAGATGTGTATAAACAGAACAGGTACTTCACGCTTCAATGGTTTAGAAATTGAGCCATTGACCTGTACACATTGGCTTCTGTCTATTAAATACGTTTTAATCAACTTTATAAATTCCTCCCTGCCTCCAATATAGTGAAGCATCGACAACACAATATCATGGTCAACATCGAATGCTTTGCTAAAATCCAACAACACTAAAGCGGTGCACTCTTTACTGTCTTTAGCTTTTAATATATAATATGGTTTTTCGAGTTTCGGTATTGGGATGACCACAGCAGACTTCCACTGCGAGGGAAAATGTGACTCAACTATGCAGCTGTTTACGATATGTGTAATATATGGAAAGGCGTAAGGAACTATTAATTCAATCATCTGCGCAGGTATGCCATTAGAGCCCACAGATTTACTGGTGATTGACCTGATAATGCCAAATACAGTGTCTTCATCTACTCGGACAACATTAGTTGTAAAATTTCGTAATTGCTTGTAATAATCCCAAGATCCAGCAGTTTTGCATTTTTTATACCTTGCCTCATCTCTCAATCTTTGTAGTAAGACTATATTATCAGTCAGTCAGGGCATCTTTGGTTTACGAATTCTTACAGTACGCATTGGTGCATGACAATATGATTTATAAGATTACATTAAAGAATTCTAATTTTTGTTCCAATTCCATAGAAAACATATGATGAATTAAATTGTGGAAATCCCTATAAGTATGCATAAATGGCACGGGTTTCAAAGATTCACATTTCAGACGACAAAACACCAAATCATGGTGTTTTCACCATCATTTGAATTAATCACACTAGAATCAGTCACCCCCAGCTCATCCTAAACCGCAATGATATCTAACAGAGTTGCCGTAGTTTCCGTGACTCTGGTAGGATCAGATATAAGAGATATACCAACCGCCAGAAAACCATTAGTCAACTCAATGGCCTCACTCATTTCTTCGTTCAACAAATTAATGTTGGCATCACCAGCACAAGCAACAAAATCATAATTCAAATGATTATAATGTGTATGAAACTTTGATTATACCTAATAGAAATATTGGTATTGTTACAGAAAAGTTTTTTGTGCCTCCTGAACAATTTATTAAAATGGAGCTGACTCGTTGTTGCTGCAAGGTCTTCAATTGTCATTCAGAGTTAGATTGTTGTGTATTGTTATTCAACTAAAAGTAGAACTAACACTAGACCTAGAACTAGAAGCATTCGGGTTTAGCCGCACGTCTCTTAAGACGGCTAAACCCGAATGATTCTAGTTCTAGGGCTTGTGTTATTTCTAATGCTAGTATTAGTTCTTGTTTTTGTTGTTGTTGAGCGTTAGATTCTTGTATATTTTTTATTGAACTAAAAGTAGAACTAACACTAGACCTAGAACTAGAAACATTCTAGGTTCTAGGGTTCTAAAAGTTTCTAGTTCTAGGTCTAGTGTTAGTTCTAGTTTTAATTATTCAGAGTTAGATTGTTGTATATTTTTTATTGAACTAAAAGTAGAACTAACACTAGACCTAGAACTAGAAACATACGGGTTTAGCAGTGCATTTAAATCGAGATTTAACTGTACCTACATTTAATTTTATGTATAAAAAGGTAAAAACGGCTTGAGGAAATATGTTTTGAACATCAAAAGATATCTTCACCCCTGACATTGTGTGGAACAAAGCCATTTTGTGGCGACTTCCGTTCGTAAAACTATCGTCTACGTCGTCTTTAGCGATGCACACATTCGCCAACGTGCATAAACAGGATATTCATTCTCGTTGAAGAATGTCTCTTTTCTTACAAAGAAGAGCAGGATGCAAGTTTTTTTATTACGTTTTCACTTTTAACTTTTTTTGTTGTTTTAATGTAGTCCGGAGGTTTATTAACAACAAATTTGTTAAGGTAAATAAACTTTAATGTGGAAAATCGCATCAGCTTTTTTAATTATTAGTGTAGTTGCTTTTTTTTAACCAAATTCATATAAATCAATTTCAATAAATTTACTTTCTATCAAAACCGCAAACCTATTTAGTGTATAAATAAATAAATTAAAAAACGCACACCCGAAAAGGAAAAATCCGTTTTCAAATTGGAAACTTTAGCGCTTTCTAACGTATTCACGTACTCACACGGTTGTTAGCTTCTAAAACCTTAAAGCCCAGAAAACCTCGGGATTGCGTTCATTTTAACTCCCACACATACAACAAGACGCGACATCGGACTTG